GGACAGTCTGAGCGGCCATAACACAATGAGGTTTAGTTCAGTTCACACTTATTTTTTATGCCAGAGGGGCCGATGGCGTGATATGGCAGCCTTGCTTATGTCAGTCTGCCCCAGGGCAGCTGTGGCTACAACTGTAGCTGCCTCCACCAGTGTGTGAATGTGAGAGTGAATGAATAGTGGAATTGTAAAGCACTTTGGGTGCCTAGAAAAGCACTATATAAATGCAATCCATTATTATTATTATTATTATTTATATTTAAAGTTTAAGTTCTAATGTTTCTGTTTCAATGACAGACAAAGCTATACATTTACAGAAAATCTATCATTTTCAGTAAATGTTTCCTTGTCACCACCAAACATCAAGTTTTCCGTGTCTTGAAATTTTGATAATTATAATTCAAAGGTGATGGAAGTGAAAAGAAGCTGCCTGTACACTGCACACAATTTGTAGCTGATGCAGAGGTTTATAAAAGGCTCAGTGTAGACCAGGGGTGTTGAACAAAAGGCCCAGAATCAGAAATCTTTGAAAAATGTGAAGAAGAGCATACATTGTGGACTTTTAAGTCTACTTTCAAAAAATGTAAAGCTTGTCTGACTGATTAATGTCCTCCCCCTGAGTCTTTAGTACATCAAGATAATAGATTATTAAATGACAAAAAAAAGCTTGTTTCTTTTTTTCCTTTCCACACAACGCACAATCGACAGACGGATTGGTGCAGCGGCTGCAGTGATGCGGACGCTGTACAGGTCTGTTGTGGTGAAGCTGAGTATAAAAGCGAAGCTCTCAATTTACCGGTCGATCTACGCCCCTACCCTCACCTATGGTCACGAGCTGTGGGTAGTGACCAAAAGAACGAGATCGTGAATACAAGTGGCAGAAATGGGTTTTCTCCGAAGGGTGGCTGGCCTCTCCCTTAGAGATAGGGTTAGAGGTCCGGCCATTTGGGAGGGGCTCAGAGTAGAGCCGCTGCTGCTCCACATCAAAAGGAGCCAGTTATGGTGGTTCGGGCATCTGACAAGGATGCCCCCTAGGCGCCTTCTGGGCGAGGTTTTACGGGCATGTCCCACCAGGAGGAGGCCCCGGGGCAGACCCAGGACACGCTGGAGAGATTATATCTCTCGGCTGGCCTGGGAACGCCTTGGCGTTTCCCCGGATAAGCTGGAGGAGGTGGCTGGGGAGAGGGAGGTCTGGCCTTCTCTGCTTGGGCTGCTGCCCTCGCGACCTGGCTCCAGATAAGTGGAAAAAAATGGATGGATAACGCACAATAGAAATGTCTGTTTTTTTATTATTTGTGGGTTAAAAAAAAACTTTCTCCATTAAAAGTCTGGACAATGAGCTGCCAGAACTTTTTCTGTAATTTTACACATTTATGTTTTACAATTTAAGCCCCAAAGGTTCATGTTGACAAATTTCTTTAATTAAATAGAGTGGCATTTCTCTACCATGCAATACAATTGAGATGTGCTGTTGAAATTGCACTTCATTTTTTCATATACTGAAATATGGCAGGAATGAAATGTGCATCTAAACTTATTTCCACTGACAGAAAGGGCCTTTTTACTGACATGCGCTATATTTGACCTCACATGTAAAATGAGTTTGAAAACCCTGCTCTAAACACTGGTCAAGATAGCAATTATGACACACTTTACAGGGCTTTCTTGTAAAGTGTGTCACTTAAATTAACTTTGAAGTTAGAATCAAAGCTATAGTACCAAAATTCAAAAGAGTTAACCCAAGTCCTTCACAATCAGTTAAGAACAAGAGAAAGCAATAGGGAAACAAATATAGATAAATTTTGAATCAAATACAGATAAATGAGAAGACAACAAATTAACATTAAAAACATAAAACAGGCCTGATGGTACTCAAACTGAACTCGAATTAAAAGCCAAAGTAAAAAAGTTTTAAGATGCGATTTAAAAGACTGAACAGACTCTGAAGTACGAATATCCTCTGGCAGATTAATCCAGAGTCTGGGTGCTGCTACTGCGAAGGCCCGATCTCCTCTATGCTTCAATCTAGACCTCGGTTGTGCTAAAAGCATCTAGTTAGATGATCTCAGCACTCTTTTGGGGTCATACATGTTGAGGGGTTTGTTTAAATAACTAGGCGCCATATTATTTAAAACTTTAAAAGTAAACGAATCTTAGAATCAATACGATACTTGTAAATTTGCGAAAACTGGAGTGATGTGTTCATACATTCTAAAACCTGTTAAAAGACTCACAGCAGCATTTTGGACGAACTGCAAGCGATGGAGAGATGAGTGTTGAAGACCCAAATAGAGAGAATTGCAGTAGTCCAGTCTAGAGGTGATGAAGGCATGAATAAGTGTTTCTAGGTCTCTTGGAGGAAGATAAAGCTTAGCTTTGGCAATTTCACATAACTGATAAAAACTGGTCTTCACAACTCTGAAAACTTGCTTCTCTAATTTAAAAGAGCCATCTAAAAACACTCCGAGATTCCTTACAGTGTGAGAAAGATGAGAAGCAGGAGGACCGAGGGTGTCAGTTAACTTGTTCAAAGGGGCATGAGTTCCAAATACCATAACTTCAGTCGTATTTTCATTTAGTGTGAGAAATTTCTGTGTTAACCAGTCTTTAACATCATGCAGACAGTTAAGCAAAGGCTGTAGTGGGACAGAGACATCCAGTTTCAAAACTAAAAGCAAAAATAAGTTCACACCCTATGAAGGTATGCATGTACCTACAATGGGTGTGATTATGCCTGCATATATAGTGTGAGCTCTCATCACACTATATACCTTCATGTTACATAGGCTACTCTGTACTAAAAAGGGTACAAATGTGTGCGTGTGATGTTTAGGGATTATAACTACAGGGATTGTTTGGCTACTGCTTCTTGAATATTAGTGAATATTGGTGCTAAGTAGAGCACACTTTGATCTTAAATGAGCTGAACCAGTGAAACTCCCCTTTCTGTCACTGTATAAAAAGTTCCACTACATACTTAATGTTTGAAATATTTTAATACTAGGGGGAAAAAGGGCAGTTTCAACAATACATTGCAGTTTTTCTGATTAAGGCTTAAATTGTAAGAAATAAGTGCGTAAAATGAGAGAAAAATTGCACAAACTAAAATGTTGAAACAAAAACATTTTTGTCAATGTTTTGGATGCCTTTTATTTATACTATTAACCCACTATAAAAAAAAAATCATACATTTCAACAGTAGATAGCGAAAAACTGGAACCTTATTTTTTTTAATTGTTTGTGTATTGTTTACTTTGTTGTAGCATAAATGGCCATGTGGGAAGGAGACGCTGTAGAAGTTGTTAAAATTCAGTTAAATATAAATAGTTTATGTCCTCCTTCACATTTTCCATCCAGTGGGCTGCTTTTGCCGACTGATTCTGGCCCACAGTTCTCATGTGTGATACCCCTGACATGCATAATCAGAAACGTGCATTTGCAAAAGTGCATTGAGCACATCAGTTAGGAAAGGACATACAAAAGGAAACTGTGAGGTTGCTGCTTTACAAAACTTTATAAAACCCTAATGTGCAGGCTATGCAGTACTCAGGTTACCATTAAGGCCTACTTTAATATTAGTCTACTAGGGCTGTAAGGGTGTATGCATTAAAGTCTGACTTTAGGACTATACAAATTAGTCGAATAATCGAGTAGCAACAAAGAAACTAATCTCAACTAGCTGAATTGATAGTCAGGGTAGTAAACCAAGGCGGGAAAGCTCTATGTTCACTTTTGAGTGTCCCTCAGCCCTCCTGTTTTGTTAAGTTGTTCCCTTTTATATATTGTCTAATAAATGAATTAAATTTAAGCTGCTAATCAATCAATAACAAAACTATCATCAGCTCTAATGTTACCTGCAGTAGGAGGCTCATTATAATATCGTAGAGGGGAGTTCTCCTCACCGCCTCGCAGCCACCAGTCAGAGATCTCCGCCCCAGTCATCTTGGGCTACAGCTCGGAGCCCGGATGCGCCGCCATGCCGCCTCTGTCAGCGAATGGAATAATTTATTCACCAACCTGCCTCACACTGGCCCACTAGGAGTTGACTGAAGAAGTCGATGAGACAGTTTCGTGGCCACCGGAGCCTTTGCTGCCTACAGGCTAGTGCAGGATACCCGTGCCGTGCCTGCTCGCTTGTTTGCGTAGCTTAGCACTGTTGTGTCGCTGTAGGGACACTTGTGCTAGCTGCGCTAACGTTAGCTCAAGCGGAGAGAGTGCGGGGTAGTGACAGTCCGGCCGGAGGCGGGGAGAGTCGCGAGCTGCGAGGTGAGACTGTTATATTTTGATGGTGGTTGCTACCCTGTTGACTACGCGTGGCCATCTGTTAAATGGTATCACTTTCGTGAGTGTGACTCACGATTTTAGTGGGGTTCGGGCAGCAGCATATCGAGGTGGGTACTTTGGTGTTTGTCTGGTAGCGCTTTCTGGCCGGAGTAGACCGTAACGTTTACTCGACGTTTCAATCTTCTTGGCCCGCGATAGAGAAGCTAAGAGCTAGCTTGCTAACTGGGTAACAGTGCTAGACGGGGACTCCTAAACTTTTCAGGTCAGCAACCCCTGTGTAGACACGCTTCAGATACCACATTACAGATGTGATAAGGGTGTGAGCCAAGAGATTCTCTGTATCTAAAAAGATGAATTTTGTGTATCGTTATTAGGAAATCACAGTGGAATGTAAAGGGTTATTTTTTTTAACTCCCACCACATAGGTATAAATACAGATACAGGGGCCCTTGGATGTGCAAGTGCCTGGACATCCCAGGATGGCTTGAGCATATTTTTGTTGTAATATTAGCCAACTTATGTTACTTTACTTAACAGGTGTGTGTGTGTGTGTGTAATGACAACAATAAGGAGGCATCATGTTTAAAGCAATTTTGTTCACCATATCTAAAAGAATGTTAAGTTTATGACATGAGTTTTCCTTCCTGTAACTTCTCTGTCTCTTTTGTTTCTCAGGTTCAGAAAATTACCCCCCCCCCCCCCCCCCCCCCCCCAAAAAAACCCCAAAACAAAACAACAACAACAAAAAACTTTCTATGTCTTCATCAGCTCTGAAAATCAAAAGAGATGTCTGTTGATGAAGATACTGCAAAAATGGGCAGTCCACAGCCTAGCTCGACGTCATCTCTGCAGCTCACGGATTGTCCTGGAGGTTACGGTGGTGTGTCTGTGATGATGGAGGGAACTGCAGCTACCCCTGACTTTGCAGCTGCTTGCCCTCTTCTGGGCACTGCTGCCTCGCCAAAACACACCAGCACAACTGATGCGCTCACCCTCGCAGACAATGCTGGACAGAGAGCCAGAGGGAACGAGAATAGCATCAATCGCAGAAATAGCTTTCATCATTCCAAACAACAACAACAACAACAGCAGCAGCAACAACAAACGAAGCTAACAAAGCGGCGCTACACTGCAAATTCTAGTTTCAAGCATCCTTCATCTGGCAAACGGAGACGAAGGGCCAACTCTGAGAGCGATTCTGTCCTGCCCACCAACTTCCTCTTGGGTGGGAACATTTTTGACCCACTGAATCTCAACAGCCTGCTGGATGAGGAGGTCAACAAGGCGCTGAATGCAGAGACTCCCAAATCCTCTCCGCTGCCAGCAAAAAGTCGAGACCCTGTGGAGATACTCATCCCCAGGGACATCACAGATCCACTGAACCTGAACAGTGGGATAGCTGACAGCAGCTTTTTGGCTTCTCCCTTCAAGAGTGGAGGAAGGAAGAGACACCGCAACAGGCACCATGGGGGAGGAGGAGGTGGTGGAGGTGGGAGTGGTGGCGGTATTGGGATTTCAGCCACACAAATGAACCTCTCAGAATCAGGAAAAAGTGAAGTTAAAACAGGTCCTTCTGTACCTCTTCAAGGTACCTTAGCCTCATGTTCTGCACTAGAATCCAACAACGAATCCGGTAGTGTTTCTAGTGTCATGGCAGAGTCCCACGAGCACACAGATTGCAGCTCAGCAAGCTGCAAGGAGGAAATGCCACCTGCATCCATGGAGGATTCCACTTCAGGGGCACCATACCAGCACACAAGTAGACGCAAGCGAAGGCGCAACTCGGGCAAAATGGAGCCCCCTGTCACCCATTCTACTCCGATTGGCAAGTCGGGACCTGGAGACAGGCATTTTGGTGCAGGGGGAGCAAGAAATTCCTTTCACACACCAAAATCTGGTTCCAAAATAGGCCCTGGAATACGCCAGCACCAGCAGCCCCACTCTCATACAAAGGAACAGCAGAAGAAGTTCCAGTATGGGAATTACAACAAGTATTATGGATACCGCAACCCGGGCTGCAGTGAAGACCCTCGTTTACGTTTGCTTCGTCCCGAGTGGTTTAGAGGTAAAGAAGTACTGGATTTGGGGTGCAACTCAGGCCATGTAACGCTCTATATCGCCAAAATGCTAAGACCCGCCCGCATATTGGGCCTTGACATTGACAGTGGTCTGATACATGCAGCTCGTAAAAACATAAGACATTATCTGTCTGAGCTGCAGACCCAAGAGGCCAGGCGAGCAATGCAGGGCAAAAAGACTAGTAAACAGGAGGAGACAAATGGAAACGCGAGTCACACAGGCACAGAAAAAGAGCACAACGAAGTCGAGAGCAGGGACGAAAATGGGAAACCAGTGAAAGCAGAAAGTGGCCCTGCAGATGATGGAAATGACAATGAGTCGTGTCACACGGATGAGATGGAGACCCAGAGGCAGGGCAGCAAAACAGAGGAAATGGAGCAAGAAGACTGTGATTCACCCCCCGCTGATCACTCTGAGCGCTGCTCTTTTCCTGTATCCCTACGGATCTCCAGGGGTCCCATTGCTGCACCCCCGCTAACACAAACATCCACGGTGCAGCCTGGGGAGTTCCCTTCAAATGTGTCCTTCATCAAGGTAAGAGAGGATTTTTTTAATTTATTTTTTCCCTTTTGGGAATATGGCTCAGATTTCTGTGTTGCTGCATATTTTAAGCCTAGATGGCAAATTCAAAAAAATTAGACACTGTGTCCTGCTTTATAACGTAATGTTAGGGTAACTGAATAAAATGTAAAAATGCACAAAAAGGTGTGTGCATTATGAGAACTGACCAGCCTCTCAAGAGAACTTGATGCAAGTTGTGCACACACTTCCTCTCACTGTGAATTTTTGTTTTTCTTCCCCACTATAAAACAGTTATATATATATATTATATCTAAAAAAAAAAACTGACCTTTGCATTTTATTATTGTCACATTAGTTGAGCCGTGGCTAAATATTAAAAGGTATTATGATGAATCCATACAGTAATTGGTTGTAAAATTTATTTGCATAACACTTATCAAAACCAGCGTTGTAAAATGCTTCCCAAAAAACAGAGTAAATGAACTAACTAGGAGGAAATAAAAATAAAAAAAAAACCAAACAAAAACAATGTACACTACGAGTTAAAAGTTTGGACACACCTTCTCATTTAATGGTTTTGCTTTATTTTCATGACTCTTTACTTTGCGGATTCTAACTGAAGCCATCAAAACTATAAATTAACTCGTATGGATGTTGTAAATGTTGTAAACAAATAATGTGAAATAACTCAAAACATGTTTTATGTTTTAGATTCTTCAAAATAGCCACACTTTGATTTGATTACTGCTTTGCACACTCTTGGAATTCCCTCGATGAGCTTCATGAAGCTAGTGCACAACCCCAATGATGGTCCCAACCCCATTAAGAAGGAACGAAATTCCACAAGTAATCCTGACAAGGCACACCTGTGAAGTGAAAACCATTTCACGTAACTACATCATGAAGCTCACTGAGAGAAGGCCAAGGGTTTGCAGTGCTGTCAACAAAGCAAAGGGAGGCTACTTTGAGGAATTTGAGGAATTTATCTTTTTTTTTCTTTGCTACATAATTCCATATATTTTGCTTCATATATCTGATGACCTCAGTATGTCTCTACAGTGTTGAAAGTAGTAAAAATCAAGAAAAACCATTTTATATATTTTTTGTTATATGTTAACCCTGCATTATTACTTTGGTGTGTGTGTGTGTGTGTGTGTGTGTGTGTGTGTGTGTGTGTGTGTGTGTGTGTGTGTGTGTGTGTGTGTGTGTCAGTCAAACTATAGGCTCCCTGAGTTTTAGGTAACTGGTGATTTTGAACTAATAGGTAAAAACGGCAAAGAGCAATTTAATATTGTGATATAATAAATATTATAGGTTCCATTAAAGTGTCTGAAATCAACTGTGTTTAAGCCACACTTGCTTTTGCACTCTGCAGTCCTTTTATATGTATTTGTTGAATGGAAAAGGGGAAAAATACATAGTTTCCAAAGGAAATTGATAACTGCCTCTTCTGTGATAGTGGAATTGGATATTGATAGCACACCAAAATAATGAAGTTGTAGATTAACAATTAAAAAAAATAAAAAAGGCAGAAAAGGTGTTGTAATTGCAGGACAGTCTGAGCAGTGAGCTATCAGAACTTTTTTTTTTCTGTAATTTTACATTTATTTATTCATGCTAACAGATTTCTTTAATTTACTACAGCAATGTTTCTTCTTATTGTGTAGAAAAACTGAGATGTGTTGTTAAAAGTGTGTTTCTTTTTCTTATATTAAGATATCGCTGGGATTTTAAATGTCTTTACATTACCAGTAGGAGGGAGTGTTACTAGTCCAGCCCACTTAAAATCAAAGTGGGGTGCATGTGGCTGACAATGTAAAAAGATTTTATCAGTTTTATCAGGATGTCAGGTTATTAATGTGTTCTTCTACTTTTATCTTTTAATGCTGGTTGAAGATTAGCACTACTACTACTTTCTGCCAGTGGAGGTGCATTGCTTTATACCAGACACTGGTAAAATGAATGGAAATATATTTTAGGGCAGTACCCTTCTGAGATTTTGATGAATTTTTCTTAGTTACTAATCGGAACATTTAAATATTAAAAACTAAGCTTCATCTTTGAGAGAATTTATTTATTTATTTATTTTTAAAGAATGTTCTCAAATGTGGGCAGTGGGTTTATTTTACGGCATTAACAGTGTACTAAACACTGTAGATTTTGGCTTTTCTGTGACCCACAAAGGGTCACAGGAAAATACATATATATATTATCAGTGTTCAAAATAGTGACTATTCCCATAATGCTGTTCCCCATTTCCTCAGTCAGATCTACTGCTTTTTCAGGGCTACTGATCTAAAATAAATAAATAAGTAAAATATCAAAGATAGCACTGACCAAATAGCCATGTTCGAAACCCCAGATCAGGACTTTATAAATGAATGATGTCATGACGGCTGTTTCCATCTTTTATATACAGTTTTTGATTTTTGACCAAAACTCAACAGGTAGAAATGTGAGATTGAGATTCTAGTTTGGGAGGTTAATCAGTTTCCAATTTCTCAGCAGTGACCAGCTTCAAAAGAAGTCTGTATTGGATCCATGAAATTGAATTGCACAAGAAGGGCCTATTTTTCTCACCTCATCTCTTCTCTCCTTTAGGCTAATTATGTACTGGAGAGCGATAATCTTCTTTTGACACAGCGACCAGAATATGATGTGATTCTGTGTTTGAGCGTCACTAAATGGGTCCACCTGAACTGGGGGGACAGTGGCCTCAAGCGGCTCTTTAAGAGGGTCTACAGACATCTCCGTCATGGGGGCCTTTTCATCCTGGAGCCACAGCCCTGGGAGTCCTACGTGAGGAGAAAGAAGCTAACTGTAAGAACCTGAGATGACATGGTTGACGTTTGTATTGCTGGAAGACTGTCTGAATATAAATCGGTCATTTAAAAAACCTGGTTGATTGGCTGAAATATAACAAATGTTCCCTTTTTTCCCCTTGCCTGACAGGATAATATTAGCAGGAATTATCACAGCATCCGTCTCAAACCTGACCTGTTTTCGTCATATCTTACAACTGAAGTGGGCTTCACCAGTTTTGAATACATTGGGCCCCCCAAGTGTTCAGTAAGAGGTAACTACACAATGATTTGTCAAAGCAGATATATTCTCAGGATTGTATCCAGCATTGTAGTTTGCTGCCATGTTCATCTTTATTTATTTATCTATCATCCTGACAGGTTTTCAGAGGCCAATCTATGTATTTCACAAATGACTGCGCCTGCCTTGAACATCATTGAATGTGAGTAGCCTAAACCACCATCATACATTCAAGCCAGCCATCTACACTGGACTACAAGGAACAATCTGAAACCTTGAAACCGTTACTCCGGCGTTTGATGCTGAAGATGAATAACAGAAAGGAAAATGGGACCAAAAGTGGAATGACATTTTTTTTAAGGATGCAGACTGTCAAAGAGAAAGATGTTAAAGTCCTCTGTGACTAGAAAATATTAAAAGTGTGGAGTAAACTCTGATAGGACTCCATGGGTAACCTGGAACAAAACTCCTAGTTTGGCCTGAGTGTGGAAGAGGTGTTCATCTGCTCAGATTTCCATGGTGGTCCATCTAGTGGTATTGATGCCCCCAGTTTGATCCATGGCCATAACTTGGGTTGGAATATCTTGGGCCATATCTTTACTTTCAGGAAGTTATTCTGTGCCACCATATTTCTATATCTTTTACATATTAGGATTGGACGATGGGAAGTCTTATCCAATTGGTCGCAATCACCATTTTTAACAGGTGATAGATGTTATATTCATCAACTGTATGTCGCGTAAGCAAAGCTGCACTATAATGCATACAATGCCATTGAAGAGATGATATTAAATCTTTTGAAAAGTAAAGTGTTTTATGCTGTGCAAGACACTGCGCACAATACTTGTGAATGTAGCCCCCCCACTGTAACTACTGAAGACTTAGAAATCCTGCCTTACCTGTCAAATATATGTTTAAACCCTTGAATGCTCTTGCGGCAACCATATAAGCGCACATTTGTTTGTGATGATTAAAACAGTTACACACGGTCAGTCACTGAGACAGTTTAACACTAATGGCCTATGTGTTTGTCCCATCTTCCAAACCTAATGCGCACCGTGTTCTTTGCCTTGTTTTTTTAATTAGCTAAATTTTGCTGAATTCTCTTTCATACATGTTAAATAGTGCTCAAAATTTCTTCATGTTTTGAATACGACGTCAGAAAAAGCACCTACATCACACAAAGACCTTAACAAGTGGAAAGTGGGGTGTCTGAATAAATAGAAATATAATGAGGCACAGTGGGGAAAGGTTTGCTAAACAGCCAAAATAGCATCCAGTTAAATTTGAACTGAGATGGTGGGACATCCATGTTATTATTCAGCCCACAAGGACTATTTTAAGTAGATCTGTAGCAGGCAGCCATCTTTTTTTTCTTATATTTTTTCTTAAACAGTTAAGCCATAGCCATACCTTATCTGCTGTCTCCAGTGTCCTTCATGAGGTGCTGACTGATACAACTGAGCGTAAAATTGAGGCAAAGGCGATTTGAGGCCCTGTGGTGTCATCAGTCCTGTATAAATCAGAGACATTCTATTTTGTGGGTCTGTTCTCATGCTCATCCAGTAGTCCCTTGAGCCCCGTGTTGATTTCTAGTTATTCTATACATGTAAGCATAAACAAAAAATACTGGAAAATGAATTGTTGCTTTAATATTGTTTTTATTTTGTTGTATTTTTTTTTAAACCAAATTTCAGTATGACTATGCTTTTTGTTTTGACAAACTTCCATTTTTTCTGTATTTTATTTATTTTATTTTATTTTTTTCCTGTCATTCTGTTGGGGCAGATCACACCCTCACTGCTTTTAATCTTTGACCAATAAGGCCTGTTCAGTGTTTCCCAGAGATCTGGGTTCTGTTTGTGATGGTGTTGGGGATGGGTGTCAGGTGGCAGCGTTCAAAAGAAGCTACACACATTTTGTCAATGTGCTTCTCAGTAAATATTTTAACTGACCAAGCATCTCCGGACAAATAAATAGCAGACCATCTCCAGTGAATTCATTGTCTTATAAATGAGCCTTTGACCGCCACTGGTCCTTGCTAGCTTGCAGTGGATATCTGGACAACAGTGACTACTTTCCTCATCCCCACCTAGACAGTGTTGATGGAGCCTGAGAGGATCAAGCAGCTGAATGATATGAAAGGACATTAAAACAGAGACTTGGCTATCAAGTCAGGTGGAAGGGAAATACAAGAAGGCAGTGGCTAGCTAGTTTACTTGTAACTTGGCTTTTAAAATTAGACTGTTGACGATTAATTTGTAATCTGAGTATTAAAAGCTGGTGATCTCTTGAGTGGGGAAAAAAACAATAATAGCTAAAAAGAGTCCTCAAATATACTTCATTGACCTGCCCAAGTAATAACTAGGTGTGAGAAACACTGGAGGTACAGGTATTCCTTGTGTTTGCTTTTTTAATTGGTTTCCACTGAGCCCACCCATCTGCAACCTTTCGTTGGAAGAGGCTGGCACAGAAAATCTTGCTTTCATGTGGCTGGTTCCGTTACGGGTGCGATAGTGCAGGCGATGATGGATGATATGTTTCTGTTTTAAGTGATCAATGTAAATAAGTTTGCAGATTTTGTTCATAATGGCCTGAGTCGTTCATACAGTGTTTTATGGTTTTCTTTTGTTCTTTTATAATGTTTGCTGCCAATTTACAAGTGAGTCACAGTCCTTTTTTTTTTTTTTTGTCTGGGGGAAAAAAAAAGACCGGTAGCTTTGTATCTACAAAAAAGTATGTACGTTGCAAAGTTCAAATTTTTATTTTGCATTGTTCTGCCCTGGCAGGCACATTTATTGTTAGGCAAGTTGTTTGTTTGTTTGTTTTTTCTTTCTTTTTTTTCTTTTTTTATAAATTGTTTGAAAGATCGTTTGTCGGTGCACTCTCTCATTTCACTTCATTTGCCATGTTGTAGACGTTTAAGGTTCTTCATAATAGAAAGTTTACTATTTTTCTTTCTCCCAACAAATTCTCCAGAAAAAGTTGTCAAAGTATAAATTGAGCAAGCAGAATACATTGTGAATTTCTGCACAATTTAGCCTCAAGCTCAGTTGGCATATCAGACAGAACACCAGATCACACCTTTCTCCTGTGCTAAGACAATCGGACTCTCAGGCCCACTGCTGTACTTTCAAGGGCATTTTGCTTTATGCATTATCAACAGCTGTTTTCCTTCTGGCAATCAGCATTTTAGTAGAACAACAAATTGTTATACGCCTAGGTTGTGCTTTGCCACCTATGTTTTAATATTGCACCTTACCGTCTTAGCAGTGGTGTCTTACAGATTTTAACCCAGTATGCCTGACTTGTACATCCAGGCATCCAAGTGAGAGCATGTCTTTGCTGGAAGTATGAAGTTACATGTTGTCATATACAGTGCTGTATAAAATTTCAGAATCCCCTTGAGGTTTTGCACAATTTGTATTAATTCCTTCTTCTGGTTGGTTAATGACATTAAATCATACCAAAAATCCGGAATAAGAGAAGTTCAGTTTTACTAGCTTAAAACTTATAGTGCTCAGATCTCTTATTCAGGTTATAGTAGTAAACAAAGACTGCCTTTTGCTTTGTTCTAGTGGGCAAAAGAAAATCCTCTTAATTGGAATACTTTATTAAATCTTCACTGTATTAAAGCAAAGAAAACCAGAATAGTTTAATAATAAATTTAATAGGATCTTTAAAAAGTAAAAACAAGTGAAACTGAATTAAAGTCTTTTTTTTTTTTAATGCACATTTAACCCAATGAGTGACATATGTGTGAACTTGACATGTGTTCTTGGTTTTGTGAGATGCATTATTACAGATGATCTATTAATCGTCCTCTGCAAAACCCACTTGTGGATGCAACAAACACTATGCTTACACTGTCTTTTGCTGTAACTGCAGTAAAATTGTGGTGCTAATTAATGTCTACATCATATGTATCTGAGCATTGTAAGATTTGAGCAATTCATTAATTTAAATTAGCAACAAATTTAAAAAATCTCTGACCCAGCTGTAAATTATTGCTTTTAATTTATTAGGAGTTACAGCGTGTAATCAAAAACTAAATACACTAGGTTAGATTCTAGGTAAAAGTTGATATATAGCCAAAGCATAATTTTTGACTGCAACATTGTATTACCTCAAGGGGAATGAATTTTTTTTTTCATGGCACTAAAATTCACCTAAATGTTGAATTTGCACTGATATGAAACATGGTAATGAAAGTAGTTTAGTACATTTTTTTGCAGTTGATGTTTTACATGTACCTTCATAGAATCAGTTTTCTGGAAAAACTGATCAGTATAACCCCCTCTGTCAGGGAATGTTTTACATTTCATGCCTCTGAACAACAAGCTATATCTGAATGTTTCTGTGTTTAACATTTTAACTGATTAAACTTTGTTCCAGATTTGTTGGTTCAGTATTTGCTTATGAGGTATTAAATATGGAGAGGGTTTTTTTTTTTCCACATCTGTTTACTTTTTTTTTTACAAAGGTTTCTTTGATTAAACATCAAAACTTTCACACTGGTTGTGGTCTACCCATAAGGTTTCTTACACTGAAACAGCCTTCACAGCCTTTCTAAAGGCGTAGTGGCATTGAAGAAAGTAACATGTTAAAGGGAAGTTGTGCACTTTCTACCAGATCAAAGTTATTAGATTCACTAGAAAAGTTATTTACCAGTATGTTGGAGCTATATAACCACAAGAATAATAGTGTCATGATAGCTGTGATATCAAATACATTCCCAAACAATCAACTAATATTCACCATGGTATTTGAGTAACTGGAGAAGTAAATAACAGTCATAAACACAAACGGTCAAAGCTTTTACTGTTTCCAATAAGACTGAAAAGGGGGGGAAAAAGAAGAAGAGTGAAACTCATACCCAGGAGTTACTAATCAGATGCACTTGATTAATTGATCATCAGGAAGTGTGAGCACCTCTATAATAACACACGTTATTGGTTTACTGGCCTTGATCTTTAGGTGTGTGTGTGTGTGTGTTAACACACTGCTGTTGTTTGCTGTGAAAATCCCAGCAAATTCATCCTAAAGTTAGACTGTAAATCCTCAGAGAAAACTGCATAAAATCCAAGAGCTACATCTAGGACTCTACAGGCCTCAGTTAACATGTTAAACTAGGAATAGAATAACTTTATTATTTACATTCATTGAAAATTGCCTTTGGTCTGCCAAGCCATAAACAAATCAATCAAATCACTTCACATCAACACACATTCATACATACCCACACATAAAACGTTGATACAACAAGAATAAAAACACCTTTGACCACTTTTTTTGTTAGTTAGAGGAATCCTTGCTGTTGTCCCGAGGGCATTAATTCAAAGTCAGAATCAAGAGGGTGTTCAGGGTCAGCAACAATAGACCAGGCTTTCCTCCAAACAGTCTGATGATACAGCTTATCCAATTAAATTTGTTGTCGACCAGTAAGTTTTAGAGATGGACCAATCCGATATTACATATTGGTATCAGTCCGATACTGGCCTAAATTACTGGATCGGATATCAGAGAGAAATAAAAAATGTAATCCGATCCATTAAATATCATGAAATCACTTCACAAAACTTGTGACATGGCGTAACTCGGCTCATAACCTTAGCAGTAGGAGCAGTATGCATCACGTGATAGAGCGGCTGTGGCTCGCCAGACTTGTCGGTGGTCTGTTTGAGTATTTGTAGCTTCGCTACCAACCCGGCATTTCATCTCCGACAAAGTTATCCCAGAGAGAAGTAAAGCAAGTGTGTAAGTTCATCTCTGAATGTTAGTAAATCATTCCCGTTAAGCTTAACAACCGATATATGGAGCCACTGCCTCTTCTCTCTCCCTCCCTCTCCTGCTGCTGCTTCAATCATGAAACTGATTAATGATCAGCCGATCGGCTTTTCTGTCATGACTCCGTCTCTCTTGTTTGTTTTTGGCCCACTTTGCACCAGAAAGATGAAACCAGCGGCTGAACAACAGCAGCACGTTTAAGCTTGATAAGCTGTTGTTAGAATTTATTTAATATTACTTTCTACACCAGGATCCTTTTCCACGCAACTGACGGCTGGTAACTGTGCAGGGGCGGATCTAGCAAAGTTTAGCCAGGGGGGCCGATAGGGCATTAACAGGGAAAAGGGGGCAAAAGACATACTTTTCTTTCTTATTCTCATTTAAAATAATTAAATAATAAGTATTAAATAATTATCTGAATCTTACACCCAAAGTTTTAATTTTATGTAAAATGAATAGAAGTTCATTACTGTATATAGTAACTATTAAGTCTAATATACCCTAGTAAGCTATAGTACTTTTTCCTTTGGTAAAGGTACCATCTGTGTAGTCTGCAATTCTGTTGAAGAAAGATGTTGAATCTATTTAATATTTCTTGGAAAATAATTGATTTCTGTGCATTTTTTTTCCACACTGCATCAAATTAAGGTTGATTACGTCGATTAAGCATCATGAGGTGGAGCGTGAGGGGTGGTTCCCTATTTTTTTTTTGTTGTTGCTGGGAGTTGGAACCCTATTAGTTAGGTTGCTTAATATTTACGCTAAGTACTCTTTAAAATACCAGAATAGGGAGGATGGTGTAGGTTTAAGTTTATTAGATTGATCAGTATTGCTGAATTATGAAATATTTTGGGTGCAGTGTATTTTTTGCATACAGGTATAACAGAATAGCCTTAGTGTTGTTGTTGTTGTTTTAAAATTTGAGTATGAACTTATACAAAATGCAGCAAGATATTTAAAAAACAGTTTTATTGATTAAAAAACACTATATCTGTTACGTTCCCCTGAGGGGTCTAGGTGGTGAGGGGGAAGTAACAAAAAGTGTCCGGGTCAGAAAAAGGAGTCAAGGAGGCAAAAGGGTTAAATTAAAGAGTTTTATTAAAGTAGCTCAACTAAAAGAGACGGACAAGCCGCTATCACCATTTAAGGAAAACAAACAAGACTCAACCGTTGGTCAATACAGTAAAAAAATCAAAGTCAAAAAGAGAGCAGCTCACTAGCTGCAACCACACAAATGGCACTCTGGCCCAGAGCTCACCTTTCCCTGGGCTTAAATACTTTTACACAGCTGACTCACATCAGTCAGGATATCAGGATTCATATCGGTATTGGCAGATATCCAAATTTATGGTATCGGTATCGGTGGTATCGTGCCATCTCTAGTAAGTTTTCCAGCAGTTTGTTCTTAATTGCCACAGTCAGGCTGAAATATTGATTTTAAGGATGCTTTCAATCAAACTGACATAAAGTCTGTCTAAAACTTTGTGGCCAACTCCAAAGTCGCTTAACATCCTATAAAGAAACTGTGATTCTTTGATTATTTTCTTGCAAACTGAGTCAACATTAATCACAGAGTTAAACTTGTCATCAATATATGTTCCCAAATACTTCAAGCTATTAATGACTTCTGCAGACTGACCAGAAAGTGAAAGACCTGTTACGGTGCATGTGTAATAAGACCAGCTCTTTTGTTTTGTTGTTATTAATAAACAAATGACGTGATTTACACCATTTTTCCAACATATGTACCTGAAAGAAATAGTTAATGTTAGAGTTCCTATAAAAGAGATCAACAATAGCAGTATCATCAGGATATTAAAGTTCATGGCAATTAGAAAAAGACTGAACAAGTATGGCTTGTGTGGAAGGGTTGCTGGGGGAAAGCATATTCCCTCCAGAAAAACATGACATCAGAGGCTTAGGTTTGCAAAATTGCATCTGAACCAACCACAAGATAAAAACCAAAGTGCAGATGTTTAGCCATAACGCACCAGGCAATGCTTGGCAAAAAACCCAAACATAGGATATCAGAAGCCTCATAGCAATTATCAAGCACGGTGGTGGATAGGTGAGGATGTGGGCTTGTTTTGCAAGGACTATGCATCCAAGCATAGCAGCAAAACTACAACAGAACGGCTGAAAAAAGTCCAGATCTCGACCCAACTGAAATGAGAGCTTTGCATTAACAAATACCAACAAACCTCAATGAACTGAAGCTGCTCTAAAGAGGAGTGGCTCAAAAATTCTTTCACAATGATGTCAGCGTCTGATAAAGTCAGCAGAAAACAAGTTATTACTTCAGCTTATTGCTGCTAAAGGTGCTTCTGCAAGCTACTGAATTATGTGATGTAATTAGTCTTTCATAGGACTCCATTGAGTCCTGTGTTCTCATTCTTCATATTTAGCAATGCTGCAATTTAGTTCACGCACTCTCTGATCAGCATTCCCGCACTGACTACTCTTTGAGTAATTCTGTGAGTTTCTTCTTAACTGCATATTGTTTAAACTTCATTTCACTTTAATCATTAATGAAACAGCACCTGCATGCTTAAATAAAACAAACCAAGACTGGCACCAATAACCATACCGTGTTCAAAGTCACTTTCTTCCCTCATTCTGATGCTCAGGTTCTCTTGACCATGTCTGCATACCTAGATGCAATTAGTTGCTTCCATGTGATTGGCTAATTAACAAGCAGTTGAACTGGCCTATCCAACAAAGTTGCCAGTGAGTGTTATATTCATGTTGTTAAAAATAAATGTATTTCAACTTCAAAGACACTGCAGGAATTTGAATTGTTAAAATCAGATTTCAGCTCTCTGACTTCTTCACTACATTGCTCATTCCTCCCATTATCACGTGATTAATGAGTGTCAGTTTTTTGTTTTGTTTTTAAAAAAACAAGTGTCAGGTTTTTAAAAGTACCTCAATACTCCCAGCAGTCCATTGTGAAACACAACTTTCTGTTTTAAGCTGTTGTTGTCAGCTTTATGAAGACAGACGGACGTATAAACAGGTCTGGCTGGGGGGTGGGTTCCCTTTTGTAGTTTGATCACGCTGTGCTGTCTGAATAGTTCACCCCAGATGACAATGCAGGGCACAATACAGTGGCTCATGTTTACAAATATCATCCATGCCTTTAACACCTACAACCCCAAAGCAGTTATTGACCACCTTCGGATCATGGCTCATTTGACTCTACATCATGACCATAAGGATAAGTTAATGTTTCAATCAGCTAGTTGCTAAATATCAGTGTTGCAAAATATATGATGGCAGCCTTTTTGCAGTGGATTAGTGGTGAGTGCTTAAACATAACAGTTTAACGTTTTCGTAAAATGAAATCGATAATGAAAACCACAGAGCCAATCAGCAAGAACATCTGACCTTACGATCAGAGAGAGGCAGATAACATGACAATGAATTTGCTTTGCAGTCGTGACTGGTGGATCCTGACATTGCCTGTCTGTTCTAGACAATGTTGTCCAGACAGACAGAATGGTGAGATAACATAAACACAGACAAGAGACATAACACTTCATTCACAAAAGCTCTATTCCATCCATCACAGCTATTTGGGTCAGTCACTTGACCATTATTGTCTCCTGTCAGTACAGGGCTGGGGTGACAGCATGCCAGACTCAACCCAGACTGCTTTCTATGCTTTTATTTTCCCAAGGTCAAGCCAAGTTGGCGTAATTGGTGGAATATGGAAATTAATTGTATATTTTAAATGGTTTTCAGATGTAAATTATGTTTAGACTGACTGGGAGCATCCCAACTTAATGGCATCAACAAACCAAACATCAGCACATTTATTTTAATGCATTTATTGTCAACACTGCAGACCAGAGAGGTAAAGGTGACAGCTCAAACAGTTCTGTTGTAAAGAATGCGAGGTACATGGCAGATACACACCTAAGAGCTGCAAATGAGCTTTGTCTAGCTACAGAAAGTCCACTTCAAAAGCACTCATTGTCAGATCCCACAGGATGCTGGGAGGCCAAGAGGGGTCGAATGACAGTAAAGTTGTCATAGTTTCATCCAGGAGCGTTACTATGACCACAGCTGCCTGTACTGAATATGTCAGAACTGATGATGTGATAACTTTCAGGCAGCATTAGGCAAGTGGAGCGCTGCTAGTATCTCATAGCACAGCACCTGGAAAAATAGAAGAGTAAAACTTCAGTTAAACTTGCAATTAGAGATAATTTCTTATGGGTTTGTACCTTTAGCAAAAGCACTATAACAATCGTTCCACGCCTACCTGTATCTTCGGGGGCAGCCGTGATGACCAACAATGTATTCTTGAGCATAGCAGAACCGTCTGCAGAGTCCTCTATACCCACAAGTCCAGTACTGCGTTTCTGGATCAGTTCCTGTAGATAATTATTTAAAAATGACATTCCAGCATCCCTGATGAATGTTGGCTTACTGGCATTTCCATAAGCTATGGTGGCAACGAATCCTTCAGATATTTACAGCACCTAAAATGTATCTGACATAGAAAGTTGTATCGTTTTATGATGTCTTACTTCTCCTCAGTTCAAACACAAACAGGCCCAGTACACTTACGGTGTAGTTTGAGCATATGCGACACTTTGATTTGCTTCATTTCAGTCTCTTACTGTGACAAAGCGGATGCATTCAATCCTTACCCTCCCCAGCTGCGAGCATCAGGAGAAGCACGAGGAGAACCAAGCTCAGTCCCTTCATGTTTGGGTACCAATGAGCTTTCAGACACTGCCGCTGACGCGCTGGTGCTGCATTTATACAGCAGTTGAAGCACGGGGGAGGAGTCCGGCGTGCTCTGTCCAAATCACAATAGCAGAGCATCACTGAGTGATGAGAGTCTGAGGGCTGAAGGTCAGGACTGTCGGTTCACTCAGCATAATCAACAGCTGCAGCCTCTTGAGAATTTGAAGTTTCTTTTTGTTTATTATTCAAAAGAACCATCCCTGTAACTGTCTGTCAATATGCAAAACACAAACTAGTTCTTATAGGATATGCCCCTATGGCAGAGCAGAGCAGTTAATTTAGACGAGAGTGGACTCTTTCAAAAGAAAATGTAGCATTTAAAGGTAAAGGACTATCTAATATATTTGTATTACAGAAGGTAAGCAGAACAGTTCTGTCTGTCCTGCTGCACGTTCAAGCCTCTGTGCACGTACTGCTCTCCCCACCTCTGAATATGGCAGTAGTTCATGTGTTACTGCTGATGCTGGGAAACTCCAAACTGCACAAAACATGCTGGTCCAGTGACGCAGGGAATGATTGTTAACAAAACAATAACAGAGACATATATATATATATAATTGGACAGCATGCCCTCTACTGCTCATGCAAAGTTATTTGCTGGCATGTTTGGCCCTCCCAAACAACACAAACAAAACAAATATTTATATACACATATAAACCTAGAAACTGGGCCAATCAAATGAGAAATGGGCTTCGGCTACAATTTTTCAAATTGAAAATAAAATGTAAAAAAAAGAATGAGCATGAGAAGCCCAGCAGCCTTACGATTGTCTGCAACAAGATGAAGCACAGAGCAATTTATGTATTTCAACGCGCTTACTGTTTTTGGTCTGGTAAATGTAATTGCGATTTAGAGAAACAGAAGTCTAAATCGATTCCACTACAGTTGTGCAGTACAACCTTCTGGTAGAAGGTGGCGCTGTGTAATTGAAATGCGGATATTTTGCCCCGGCGAAGACGGCTCAGTTCATCCGCGCCTGCGCAGCCTGTACAGCTGCAGCTAAAAACAGCCTTTACAGGTCTGCGCTATCATTTCAAGATGGCGGACCTCCTCGGTTCAATCCTAAACTCGATGGAAAAACCTCCTACAGTCGGCGACCAGGAAAGCCGACGAAAGGCACGAGGTACATATTGTATCGCCTAAACAGCGAATAGCGTCAAGCTAGTCTGAATCCGTTTAAATGAACGTGACGCGGGATTTAAACGTATGTGAAAATTGAAAGAAGAGGCGAACCAGGCATTTCTTGAGCTGCCATTGGTCAGTTCAGCTTTCAGTAAACGGCGGCTGACCTGGTTGAAGAGTTAGCACCGCCTCAACACAACATGCTGCAGACTGTCGCAGACAAGTCTGAGCTACGGGCAGCTGCTGAAACGCAAACCTGCCGAGAACAGTCCGTCTTTGCCATCTGATTAAGTTACCTCTGAGCTTTCACAATGCTCGGCTTTCAAATGCAGTTTCCTGAAAACCCAAGTTATTCGAATTCACGGTCATTAACCGGTCATTAACCCTTTCTGTCTCCCAACATCTTATCAAAATCTTAACTATTAGGTCTGGGAATGTGCTTCCTACCTTGGTTCCCTTTAATTGATAAATACTGTGTAGGCTGCTTAAAGCTTACAGTTACAGTCAGCAGCTATAACAAAAGCACATGTACTAAGAACTGCAGTAACTCTTAAGTTTCATATGGCTCCAGTAAAAATGGGATATTTGTTTGTGTAGATGCACTTTTAATGCTTTCAAGAGTCCTGCTCAAAACACTGGCAACACTGAGTGGAGTGTTGGTACAAATAAACAACAAAGAAATGTCTTTTCAGTTGTAGTGAGGACATGGGCACAACCAAATCTCTTTAATTAACGTTAGAGAGTGTGCATCTGTATAAAACATCACAGACATGCAACAGATAATAGGATCTGATGCCTGGTGATTTTGGGATTACAGGAAGCCCGTTGTTTTACTATCCTTGGGTCATTAAGGAAAACGACCAGTTTTTGCAGTAGGACTAGATGTTCTGTGTTTAACAGCGGGGCACTCTGAAAGTTTTCAGTACTAAAATGCCTGAGTAAACACATTAAAAATCAGTTGTTGTTCTTTGAAGAGCAAGCAGCAAGGCTCAAGAAGATGGAAGAAGAGGAGAAAAGAAAGAAAGCAGAGTTCAGGAAAAAGGTGAGACCTTTAAGTGTTATCTAAGACAAAATGAATTTGTGATGCAGAGCTTTTCTGACCGCCCTAAATTAATCCTGCTATTTATCACATGCATCTTTTATTCAGATGGAGAAAGAGGTGTCAGATTTCATCCAAGACAGTTCACAACAGAAAAGAAAATACAATCCCATGGGGAAGATTGAAAGGAGTATATTGTACATACTATTTTTCTTTCATTACTAAAAAGTAAAACAAGCATTTATCTGCCTTGAAACACATTTCTCCCCCACTTGTCGATACTATTAAGATTTCATCTCTTCCTGTCTCTCAGACATGATGTTGCAGAGGTGGCTGGTTTGACGTCTTTTTCTTTTGGGGAGGATGAAGAGAGCCGTTACGTCATGCTTTTCAAGAAGGTACGAGTGCTTTGAAATCCAGTGTTGGATCTGAAAACAATCTTTTTAGTTTTATATGACTGATGGGAAAATGTTGTTGTGGCAGGAGTTTGCTCCATCAGATGAGGAGCTGGAAGCCTATCGCAAGGGAGAAGAGTGGGACCCCAAACTGGCCGAACAGCGGCGCAGACTAAAAGTAAGACTGGTGTTCCTCTGTTTATATTTATATATATATATATATAAAATTATATATATAATTTTTTATTTTTTTTTCTTCTTGTCTAATGTTATAATTCCTATATTTAAATATTTAGAAACTAAACAAATGTACCTTCTAAGAAGCTTCCAAAAAACACTTCCATACATATGCAAAGTTTGAAACAGTGATAATGGTAGTTGCTACTTATGCTACTTCTGTGTTAAAGTGGAAGAGTGGAGGCACTTTATGGCTCTGAGGTAAAGAAATTAAGTTGAATTTAAAAAAAATTAACTTCTTGATCACATTTCACTTTGGTGCTTGATGATGATTACCTTGAATTTCTCACCACGTTGCCCTTTCTTGTCACTTCTAGGAACAGGCTGCACTGGAAGAAGCAGCATCCAGTCAGACAGAAAAGTCACAAATATGCCCCAACTCTAACTACAGAGACAAGTACAGTCACCTGATTGGCACTTCAGCTGCAAAAGATGCTGCACATACACTTGAGGCCAACAGGGCTTATGGCTGTGGTGAGTGTAGAGGCCGGCTTACAGAAATGAAACACTTTGCTTTGTGTCATTATCTTTGGTCATTGTGTTGGTTGTTTTCTGTCCCAGTGCCGGTGGCCAACAAGAGGGACACTCGCTCCATAGAAGAAGCCATGAATGCAATCAGAGCAAAGAAACGGCAGAAGCGCGAGGACGACACGGGGGCGCACGGCAGCAGCTCTTGAGTCTCCGGCACGTGTGCCGTCTGTCTGTCTGCTGTTTGCGTGTGCGAGCACGTAAGTGCGTTTATGTGTGTCTCATTCATCCTATAATGCAATATCCTGTACTTCAGATGTACAAACGTTTAATTTATGTATCAACAAGCAAGTGTTTTCTCATGCTTTGTGACCAAGACTGTGCTAAAATTATAAAAACTTGCTCAGTGGAGGATCTTCAGGTGTGCTGGTGTCTGAGAACTGGGTTGTTAAACACATTTAACATTTGCCTCACACTCACATGTGAACTGTATAGTATAAACATGTTATATGAGTGTTCAGATGCATAAAACCATAACGGCAGAATATTTTTAGCAGATTTAAGCACGGCTGCGCAGGATGAACTTTAAAAATCCAGCTGTTAGGTAGTTAAAATTGAACTCTGCACTGACAGTGTCCAAAATGTCCAGTACAGTTTTTTTTTTTAAAGCCGTAATCTCATATTTTAACAAGGTTTTGGTTTGTTGAATTTTTCTTTTCAGTCTAAACCTATGTCACATTGTAAAGATGGAAGCATACCATTTTTGTCTGTCACATGAGGAAACCCTCTTTTAGAAATCTTTCTGTAAACCTGCACTGACTGTGTATTCTTTAACTCCAGTGTAAATGTTTTATTAAAAAGCCATGTGATTGCTTACAAAAGGCATCATAATAGGAGTCGGAGTACCAGACTTCTTCTTAGGATGTTGTGCTCTCAGTTTTGTTTTCTGGTTTGTTTGGGTTTGTTTTTTTTTTGTTTTTTTTTTTAAATTTCATGTCTTTTGTTTGTTACAAACAAGAATTCATGCAGGTGTTCCCAGCATCTTAGTGTCTCTTTTAACATGGTTGTATCGTTTTATCCCCAATGTATTAATAAATGGAGAAAAGTATTAGTTCTTTGTATGTTTGATCCTGTCTCTATTCTCTCAGCAGGGCGAAAAGCTCTCACTCAATACAGCTACATGCATAAACATCTTATAATCAAATCAGCAACTGTGATACATCACTGTCCAATCATAATGGCAGTTACAGTGTATCTACTTGCACTAAATTCCTTTTTTACATTTTCTCTATTGATGTCTTGTTTTATATCACACACGCTGCCTTGGCTTGAGGTCAGGGGCTGCTGCTCTGACATCCTCCGGTAATGTCTTTCTCTGCAGTTCATCTTGTAATCGGAAGGTTGCCGGTTCAAGCCCCAACTCTGACAGTCTCGGTCGTTGTGTCCTTGGGCAAGACACTTCACCCGTTGCCTACTGGTGGTGGTCAGAGGACCCAGTGGCGCCAGTGTCCGGCAGCCTCGTCTCTGTCAGTGCACCCCAGGGCTGCTGTGGCTACAATGTAGCTGCCATCACCAGTGTGTGAATGAGTGGATGACTGAATGTGTAAAGCGCTTTGGGGTCCTTAGGGACTAGTAAAGTGCTATATAAATACAGGCCATTTTTTACAGTTGTGAATTTATTGTTTCCTTGATCATTGCAGCCACGAACTACAATACTCCTTCCACGGTTGGTATGAGGTTTTGGCGTTTACTATGTCTTCTGTTGCAAAACTGACATGTAAAGCGATGCTTTGATTTACTGTTTTTCTTTCATATAACTAAATGCTAAAACAAAAAAAGAGTTGTGCAGATATTTTGCTGTTACCAGTGGGTTCTTCTGATAAATCTTTCAGAAGTATGTAGATTTTGCCAGGAAATATAGTTTTTGTATGTAAACTTAATGGCCACTCCACTTGTTCAGCCTTTTGATAATATAAACATCTAATTAGCCAATCACATGACAGCTGCCCAGTGATTTTAAAAATGTGGACAAGATGGACCTGTCGCATTAGAATGAGTAGGAAAAGTAATTTAAGTGACTTTGAACTGTTGATCTGCTTGGAAGTTTTGCCCAGCCATCTCTGACGATTACACAGAATGGTCTGGAAGAAGTAAATATCCAGTGAACAGCAGTAGCTTTAACACGTGACTCCCAAGCAGCTTTTGGAAAGATCATTTGCACAGAGGGTCACTTTTACTGATTCGTTTAATAAAAAAATACAAACATCTTTGTTTTATCACTTTATGAATAATCAAAGCATAAATCCTGGTTCATAACCTCTTTGCTACAACTCCAGCACACTGTTAAAGATTAAAACAGTTTAATCCACATTTTAAACGGCGCCTGTCTCAAACAGCTAAAGAAACGCTTTTAGGGAATTCCTATTAACGCTGATACAAATACATGAGTGCAAGGTTAAATTATTTAAGTGCTTTTATTGCCGTAATTTTGGTACTTTCTACTTTCTAAAGAGAGGAACTGACACTTTTTCTTGAAACAGTGACATTCTTCCACTTCTGTAACGCGGTCGCTGTTTAAGCTGTTTCACTTGTGATACGTCCACTCTAATGCCATCCCTGTTTGTCTCCTGAAGAAGGCGCCATAGATTATCCAACAAAAAAAAAGTAGGATTTTTTTTAAATTCCTGTTTCACACTGTCCTGCAGTTTCTGTCCCGCAGAAACACATATTTATTGCGCATTGAAGAGTCAGTCGGGCACATGTAAAAAAAAAAAAAAAAAAAAAAGAAGCAAGAAAAGAAATGAAGTCCATGTTTTTGTTCATTTTCATTATTTGGTTTGCAGCTGCAGAGCTAAAACCCCGGAAAGGTAAGAGCAGACTGTTGATGCTTATTCTTTCCTGATCAAACGTGTCTTTGAGGGGGGCTTTAAATGTTAAGGAGGGGGAGAAAAGCATGAAAATGCGACTCAAATGAGAAAAGTTTGCTCGGATTCCGCGACTCGTATATTAGGATTAACGTGTTTGCTGCACAGTTTTCTTTCTCTTTTGCTGTCACAGAAGTCAGCAGAAGTTAAATCATGACTTCTGTTTCTCTAAATAGTCTTAGGGAACAGTCCGCTGTTTGGCATCTGATACGTTTTCCACGTTTTAACCCAGTTTACACAACTCAAAGGTGACAGTTGCTTTGGAAAATGTTTTATGCAGTACTGAAGTAGTGTGAATGTCTTTATTTTCTGCCGATCCGTTTATCTGCGCCATATGCATTTCTCAGTAGCTCATCTTTTTTTGTTTAACTCTCAGGGTCCGGTTTGGTGTGTACTTTCAAAGACAAGACATATATCCCAGGAGACAGCTGGCATCCTTATCTAGAGCCTTTTGGGTACATGTTCTGCATACGCTGCGTCTGCACAGAGGTAAAGTTGATACATTAAAGGGATATTACACCAAAAGAAGCCAAAGTTGCTTAAATAGCAGCCTATAAATTCTGGGATTTGCTCTCTTTTAGACAGGCCATGTGAAATGTAACACAATCAAGTGCCCTGTCCTGCCATGTGAAAACCCTGTAGCTGAGCCTCAGCAATGCTGTCCGAGATGCACAGGTAGACTGACTCGTCACACACTGTCAGCTTAAGCTTTTGAGAAAAACTACTTCTGTTGTGGTTTTTAAAGCATCCCGTCCTGCTTGGTGTGTTCTCCCCCCTCTCCCAGACGAGCCGAGGATTCCTGCAGGGCTGAGGGCTTCGGTGAAATCCTGCAGGTATAATGGGAGCATTTATCAGCCCGGGGAGACATTCACCAAACACAACCTCTTCCCATCCAAGCAAAGCAATCAGTGTGTTATGTGCACATGCTCTGTGAGTTCAGTCTAATTTGATACTTTCATTTCTTAGTTTCTGAATAAAGAGTTTTCATTTTTCAGAGAGAGTTTGATTGTAAAAAGGATGTAAAATGCAAAAGAAATAGGAGAATATTCAGAACCTTTGCAATGTAATTCATATTGAAATGTTAGATATGTAAAGAAAAATCATTATATACATGTGTGGGGTGTGTTTTTTTTAAGTATAGTGTTATTGCATGTATGAGAAGAAGTAGCTGCCAGTGTTATGCAGTTGTAAGTGAAATGCATTGCTGTCTTGCTTTGGCTGTGACATGCACATAATACAAAGTGTACTTTACAATATAGAGCAGCATGACAAGCTAATGTTTAAGCTTTTAAGTGCTTTTTGCTTAAAATGTTGTACAAAAACAGAATAAACAGCAATTATTTAACCAGTGAATAACTTACAGGTACAGGTTTAAAAACAGTGAAAAAAGCTTTCGGCACATTTCTTTGCCGTGCTGTATCTGAACAAAGGGCAATTTGTTTTTTTGGTAGCGATATGATGTGCTGTTAAAATACATTTTGCTATCACAGCATGGTTATTATTATAATATTATCTAATTCATTCCACTTTTTACAATAGATAGTTCTCGAATGTCATTTTTTTCTTAATATTGGATTTTTTTCTTATCACAGGATGGAAACATCTTCTGTGCTCTGAAAACCTGCCAACCTATCACCTGTTCCTCCCCGGCGTCTGTTCCAGATACCTGCTGTTTGCTGTGTAAAGGTAGTCAATCTTCTCTAAGCTGACAAAATGCCTTTATTCAGTTTCCAAGATGGAATTCACGAAGCAGTAAGGAGCACTATTTTAGGATTTTCACATATAGGTTAGGGGCTGAGCAATGTAGCTGGTTAATAAGAGTGGTTTTTTTTTTATATTGATCTACATTCCCCTTTTTTTCTCTTAGATCATGGCGTCAGTGGGTCCTCATCAACTGAGGATGGAAACCATCAGCTAAACAGAGGAGTTGTATGTATTTTGCTGATTGCTTTCGTGGGAAATTTGCCTGCATTTGAAAATTATATTTAAATTTAGTTTAAGACTGCAAAGTGGTCTCACCAGTTTAGTAGCTGCAGTTTAATTATAGGGCTTGAAATCTAACAGGATCTGGTAAGCTGTCCTCGTCCGTGTCACCGTGATCACGACAAAAGTCGGAGCAAGCAGGCTGATTTTTTCCCCCTTATGCAGTTATCCGCCCAACTTGGCATCATATTGTTCAGATTCTTTGTGAATCACCCATTTGCTGTGATTGTTAGTGACAAAGGCACAATCTGTGGTTCATTTGGCCCAATCACTGCGCAGCACTGAGCTGCACTGTCATCCTATTTAAAGGGGAAAAAATGAGCTAAAAGCAGTGACTCAGATGTCTTTAGCAATGTTATTAACTTTAATGATTTGGGGCATATTCTGATGTTCCTTCAGTTTTCACTTTGGGGGCAAAGCAAGTAACTCCAGTAGCTAAATACATGAAGGATAACTGCATTGTCTTCTGTTTTACATAGAGGCATTCGGTTGATCAGTGCTCTGGAGAACAGAGCAGGGTGCGGTCCAACCGCGCCACTGCACCCAGGACCTCTCCTAGAGGCCCGAGTCTCAGTAAACTCAACCTTAAAGGGGCTTCAGAGACCACCGTGAAAATTTTGTTGCAGAGGAAACACCAAAGAGGTGAGACTTTGTCAAAACAGAAAGATCATTTGTAGGCATTTTATTTTATGTACATGCTTCTCACAACTTTACAATCGTTTCCATATGTAGCGCAACACTCAAATGTTTTCCATTTCTCTCAGCGTGTTTATACAATGGCAAGACATACTCTCATGGAGACATGTGGCACCCAGTTTTGGGTAAAGTCCTGGAATGCATCCTGTGCACTTGTACTGACGGGATATCGGACTGCAAACGCATCACATGTCCTACCCAGTACCCTTGCCAACATCCTATGAAATCAGCGGGAAAGTGCTGCAAGACTTGTCCAGGTAGTCAAACAATACTTTGGCTGTTTATACAGATCTGATGTTGATGGACTGTAAACATCATCCATTCAACCGCTCTCCTAATTGTTTTCCCCAGAGACTAAAGCTGAAAGTAACCAGACCCAGTGCTATCTCGGACATAAAAATAACCTCTTGGTGTATAAAGTTGAATCAGCTCTGAATGTTGACTCACCCAACGCAGTTAGGATCATTGCTGTTGAAAGACAAAGTACTGCTGAAGTTGAAGTACAAGTATGGAACACTATAGAAGGTACTGCACCCGCTCCTCTGAGCTATATTATAGGAAAAGTTAACATTTTTTTCAAACGTGCTCATTTTTTCTTGCCGAGTATTAGATGAGAAGATTGTGAGCATGTACAGGTTTCCTGACTGTTCAGTATCATCACTCCCTTAGCATACAGAGTGGCTTTCATTCATTTTAGAGGTGCTTGTCAGCAGATTCTCTTACCTGAGCCAAGCTATTTTCTTCATATTTCCAGTCTTTATGAGAGTGTAACTTAACTCCCTCCAATAGACTGTACATAAAAGCTGCACCACTGCTCCAGCTCTCAGACCTGAACCTCCAGCAGAAGTGCCTTAAATCTAAATTATTAATAACAACTTCTCTGATTTGTACCAAAAACACATGAAAATCTATGAGAAAAAGAGGGTCTACCTTGTGGTTCAAGCTACCACGTGAGGATGGAGTGCCTTCAGCTTTGGTTTAAAAACAAGACAGCAATAGAAGAAATCCTGAACTTGAGGCTTTAAATTGGTAGTTCACAAACCCTAAAGTAGCTTTATGGTGGTTACATCCATCTTTGATATACAGCTTAGTCGTACCTTTATATTAAAGATATAGTGTGTGTCACGACTGTCGTTCTTCTCACCTAACACTTGACAACAGAGCAAAAAAGAATAGAAAGCCAATTAGAACAAAGTGGGAATGCTGTGTAAAATGCAAACAAAAACATCATGCTGTGATTTGTCTCATAAACCCATATTTTATTCACAATAGATCACAGAAAGCATCTAAAAGTGAAAACTGAGAAAATGTACAGTTTTAAGATCAAAATATATTCTTGATGGTCGCAACATGCCTCAAAAAAAGTTGGGACAGGGTAATGTTTGCCAGTGTGTACCACCTCTCTTCTTTTAACGACAGCCAATAAATGTGTGGACTTTTAAGAGAGGAATCTTGTCCCATTATTGTCCAATATAAAATTATTGCTAAAACAGTCTTCTTTGTTGTATTTTTAATTTCGTGACACGCCAAATGTTTTCAGTTGGTGAAAGGTCTGGACTGCAGTGGAGTATGCGGTTTAGCATTGTTTTGCCGAGATGCAAGCCTGATGGTGCCTTTCAAGCTGCCAAACTCATAGCCACTAATGCACCTCTATACCTCTATACTTCAGAGATGCAGGCTTTTGAACTTTTGGACAACAAACCGAGCTCCTCCTGTGTAGTTCTAAGGATGCGGCATCCATGTTTTCCAAGACAAATTTCTGATTTTGATTCATCTGACCTCAGGACAGTTGTCCACTTTGCCTCGAGAGTTTTAGCCCAGAGAAGACAGCGATGTGTCTCGATCATGTTCACATGTGGTTTCCTCTTTGCATGACAGAGCTTTGACTTGCATTTGTTGATGGCACAGTGAACTGAGCTCACGAAGTGATTAATGCAATACCGAAGATCATAGGCTTCCAGTACTGATTTTTGGCCTTTTCCTTTGAGCACGGAAATTTCTTCACATTCTCAGAATCTTTTGGTGATATTATGTACTAAGATGATGGAATCTTTTAATTTTATACCAAGAAAAATGATTCTGAACTTGCTCCACTATTTGCAGTTTTTGCAGATTAGTGACTACCTTCAGTTCAATTAGTTGTTTTTATGTAGCACCAAGGTAAAAATGCTGCAATATTAGAAAGACACTCCTACACGTCCCCCTATGGCAAGTGCTTGGAGACAGTGGCAAGGAAAAACTCCCACTGAGCAGGAAACAGGAAGGGAGATCAATCTCTTGTGATTGGTTGGAAGTGAGGGGAGGGAGAGAGAAACAGAGTTTCATAACTATTAATGATTAAATGCAGAGTGTTGTATAAACACACAGGGAATGAAAAGAGATGACTATGTCTTAGAAACTCTGCTTTGGCTAGATGCTCTTTTTACCCAGGCACGTTACTAACCTGTTGCCAATGAATCTAATTAGCTGCAAAACGTTCCTCCAGCTGTTTCCTTTTAGTACAACTTACTTTTCCCACCTATTGTTGCTCCTGTTCCAAGTTTTTTGAGACGTGTTGCTACCATCGAATTTAAAAATAAGCTTACTTTTGTAAAATAGTCACATGTTTAAACGTTTAATGTTTTTTCTATCGTTCTATGAAAAATACATCATTTAATTCCGTTTTTATTTATTTTTGTTCCCCTCAACTCTTCTGAAATTGGGGTTATAGTTTCCAAAATGTGAAAAGCAAGACAAACATACAGCACGGCTGCACCTCTGTGTGATTCTCCTCTGAGTCCTTTATTCTTACAGGCGTTTTGCAATTAATGGAAATTGGCGACATTCAAAGGAAAGACATTTTGGATCATCCAGAGAACTGCACGTTGCTCACAACACTCGATGAAGGTTTGTTTTTTGAAGCGACTGATTTATGTGGCAGATTTGGAAATCATTATTTTAGACTTATCTTACTGTGATTTTGTGTGTGTGTGTATCAGGTTTACATCAGTTCTCATTTATTTTTCAGAGACATGGAGAAAATTTAAAGAGGAAGGAGAAAATCTGAGTAAAGCTCCTCAGACCACGATTTGTGAAGATGGCATTCGGGAGATTGTGACTTTCCTAAATCCTAAGCAAACCGAAGGCCTGTGTTCACCCTAATTGTCGCTATATGTATCATTATTCAGAATAACTACTTGGATGTGCAAGTCAAATATATTATCTATACTGTTTTTAATCCATCATTGACCATCATGTTTAATCATCACATATTTTTAGTTTTAAACTGTTAGGTTGCACAGTCTGTAGCAGTGCGCTCGACAGCTGACTTGCTTATGATGTGTACTTGTAATAATTCAAAAACTATCATGAATTTAGCTAGGTGCTGTAATTATAAACAAAATGTGAACATGTGAATAAGAAATGTAGATTTCTTAGCAGCTTCATTCAGTTGTAATTTTGGGACGAAGGCTTCAAAGACTGTTTTGGCATTCACTCAGTGGGATCAGTATTTGTGGAAGAAGGGAAAGGCTTTGCTTAAGTACATGAAAGGAACTTGTATTTTAATATAAGTTGGGATAGAAGCCACATTTTGTTTGTTTGTGTGGTCATCAAAGTATTTATTGTAAATACAGCAAGTTTTTGTCACCTTATTTAAAGGGTATTGTTTCCTATATGATTTCTGTGTATATACATGTGACTGCTTGAATGTTTTTCTTATTTTTCTTGAAGTAGTTTCAGGCATTACATGGGAGTAAATGCACAGCTTTTTACAATTGTGCCTTTTCTGTTGTTAGCTAAAGACCTATTGTAGCTTCTTTTTGTATGCAGCTGCACAGTTTGTTGTAATATCCTGATATTTTACTGCTCCACATACCTTTTGTGTATTTTACAGTGGCGGATGTAGTTGAATGCACTCTGTACCACCCCTCATGGGTATAAATACCTTAAAGTTTTCTCTGATTTGTGTCCTGCTGTTATGTATGAAATGATGCATTTCAGTCACAGTAGGAATCAGGATTTCTACTTGAGGCAGGGTGTCTAACTGTTTTTGAGAATGATTTGCTGATTCATCAGTGGTCTGCACGCCAGCTACAGCAGTGCAGTCCTAAGACCTTCATCGCCTGGAGGCTTCCAATAAATCGAGCTCCGGAAGGCCGGATAAACTGTGTTCCAGCTGGAAATTAAATGTTATCAGAGGCGTGGAAATCAAAAGCAGAAGCTCAAACTAAACCTTAAACTCATATTTTCTGATCAGCCACAACATTCAAACTACCCATATAGTTTGTATATTTGTGCCACCAAATACAACTCAGACACATTAAGACATAAACTCTGAAAAACCACTGAAGGTTGGTTTCAAGGAATTGAGATGTTAGTGCCCTGAAAACATGTTTGCCTTCTTCCATAGTCTTAGGTTTTTGTTTTTTTTTTGCATATTTATCATACTTTACACGTATCTCTGAGCATTAAAAAATGTAATAGTAGACAAAGATCATTCAGGTAAATAAGAGAAAAAAAGCGATGCAAACCTGCCTGGCCCTGTGTAAAAAACAAAAATGGCCCTCCTTGTTAATTAACCGTGATTAACCACATTTTTTGTGGAAACCAGAGTTCAGTTTAACTAGCCACACACATGCCTGATTAATGCCAGATCGGCTGAATCAAGAAATCACTTAAAGAGAACCTATCTGACAAAGTAAGGTAGGCTAAAAGAGTTAAAACAAACAAACAAAAAAACACATGCCACAAAAGAAAGAAACAGCTGAGAAACAAAGTTACTGACATCTGTCAGTCTGGAAAGAGCTACAAGGTCGTTTCTAAGGCTTTGGGACTCAAATAAACCACAGTGAGAGCCAACCTTCTGATTAGTAGATGACCTGCTCTGCCTCCTGAGCTACAGCCACCATAACGATCACAGCTTTTTATGTATGGGTGTAGGAACAGCTCTTTTCCAGATACTTTGGACCAATCCCACAACAAACTGACAGTTTTTACAATTGGATTTGTGAATGTGTTTCTCAAATTTGTCATCATTATATTGTGTCCTTACCAAAAACATCCCTTGCTTGTGAAGGTCGCAATAATTTCATAATTTTGAACCTCTAATTCTGAAACATGCTTAAAAATAAAGGTTAGCTCCCATACTGATGTCAATTTCTTAAAATCCCAGAGCAATGGTGGCTACTAAATGTATAAAATAGTGGTCAAAAGATTCTGACACTTTCACTGAAATATACATAAAATTTCCATTTATCTGAATTTAATATTTTTTGTTGACAATATCATCCTGTCATCTCATTTAAGTGATCCCAAATTAACATTGAGTTACCCTCTACTTTTTGCCCTTCAGCTGTATAAGGCTGATGGGTATTGTTGTCACTCCACCAGGTCATCGGGCAGCTGGGTGGGCTGGCAGGCGGTGTGGCCGAGAATGAGGAGCCATGGAGTTCGAAATTGATACCAAAGGTGTATCTACCAAAACTCAAATTTGAGACTGAATCCTTTCTCCTAATAACAATTAATAATAACAACAACAATAAACCAAAATGACAACAATTAATTTGTTGCACTATATGTCCACTTAATAGTAAAATCCTCCACTCCAGTAACTTCTTTCTTAAAATTATTATACAAATGTATTTGCCAAAAATCATCTTGATGAGCCGCAAGACTGATGATATTCTGTGGATGGACAAGACAAAAGCAAACCTTTTTGGAAGCTTTGAGTCCCATTACATCTGAATTCATAAAAAGAACACCAACAGTCAAGCACGGTGGTGGTAGTGTGATGATCTAGGGCTGCTTTGCTGTTTTACAACCTTGAAGACTTGCTGTAATCAATGGAACCATGAATTCTGCTTTTTATCCATCAGATCAGACCCTGAAGCTTAAGCACAATCAGGCTATGAAGCCCGACAATGGTCCAAAACACACCAGCAATTCCACCTCTGAATGGCTAAAAACCACAAATAAAAGAAAAAACCCAAACAAATAAAGGTTTTGCAGCGGCCTAGTTAATGTCCAGATCATAATCAGATTGAAATGTTTTGGCATGACCTTAAAAAGGCCCTTCATGCTCAAAAACCCTCCAGTGTGCCTGAATTAAAACAAGTCTGCATTCTTCCACAGTGATGTGAAAGACTCATTGCCAGTTATTGTAAATGTTTGATTGCAGTTCTTTATTTTTGCCAAGGCCAGCACAACCAGTTATTTGGTTAAGGGGCAATTATTTTCTTCCCTTAAGAAATGAAATCATTATTTAAAAACTGCAGCGTTAACTGTCTTGAACTGTCAGCCCCTCCAAGTAAGTGATGCATATGCACCTTGTGTTTAATATCCTAGACAAACTAAGGGCTCACTGAATTTATCACTGTAATGTTTGTAAAGTTATAAATGGTGACACGTTATATACGTCATCATTCTGATGGATCGGCTTGGTGGATCAATATCGTGCTCTCTGCCTTCTTTAATAGGGCTTAATGGTTTGAACAAGCATAACTGAAGTTACATCCAAACCAGCAAGAACAAAGTGTTTATTATTCAGGGAATAACTCTCTAATAAATAATTCTCATGAATAGAAAGGAGTTTTTAGGGGTTTAATCAATGCCAGGAGAGGAATATTCAAATAAAATTGTTAGACTTTTCACAGTGTGCCAAAATTTTGCAGGAGGTCGGTGATGCTTTGAAGCTCTAAGAGATTTTGCATTGTTGCCTAGAACTGGGGGGAAAAGGGCCCTATTAGCAAGTCAGCATACTAATTTTTTCTTGTAATCTTCTAAGATTCATAGTGAATAACTTAAAGGAATATGAGGAGAAATTCAAAATATTGTGTGAAATTAATCACAGTAAATCTTACATATTAATCCCATATTACACAGATGTGGGCCAGAGGAAATTATGGCTTATTAAAACACAATAATAGGAATAAATAAATAAATGAATTATTAATACCATTTATTTCTATAGCACCTTTCTAATCCAAAGATACAAGGTGCTTCACAGAATTTCCAATGATCAGTGGAATTAAAACATAGAATGAGTCAAATAAGACTGAATCATAACCAACATGGACGTAGCCACTGTGAAGTCTTCTTTGGTTTGTTGAAGCCTCAGTGTTAGTGTTTTGTTTTCTTTAGAATAAAAAGTTACCATATTGGACAAATGAGTGGAGTATGCTCTCCATGCTGGTGACCTGTCCTCTGTGCACCCTGCCTCTCGCCCCTTGGTAGCTGTAATAGGCTCCAGTCCCCCTGCAACCCTGAACTGGATAAGAGGAAGAGAATGGATGGATGGATGGATGGATGGATGGATGGCGCGGAGTAGTTATGGGTTGACGCTCTCAGTCAAACTGCAGTCTTAAATTGTATGGGTGCAATGCACAGACACACACACTTGCTCATTAGTGCTAAAAAACAGAAAAACAAAAAAATTAGAATTTTATTGACCGAGGATGAAAAGAAAAATCTTTTTGGACAGGCTGGGAGATTTCAGTGACTTCACCTACAGAGGATGATGTTGTGCTAGCACACCTGTCAGGCAAAGTGATCACCCCTAACTTCAAGCCTCACTATATGAATGAAAAAAAAACCAGCCTGTGTTATAGACCATCAATGGAGGATTAATCAGGTGTTTAACATTGATTAATTGTCTTTTTTCCAGAAGGAAAAAAGAAAAAGAACAAAGAACAAAGAAAAAAAAGAAAGAAAAAAGGTGGATTTTGAGACAGGGCCTTCCTGCTTTGAGGCAACAGTGCTAACCACCACAGTGCCATGCTGGTGTGCTGTTTACCACACTGGGTTTTTTCAAATGGTCTTTAGTTGGCCATTTTAACATGGCAGCCTATGGAAGGAATCACTTTTGTTGCTGGAAATACTTTTTTAAATCATTTTAAAATGCAAAAATGGTGCAGGCACACCAACAACACAGTTGCTATTTATTTCTGGATCCACGCTTCAGTTCTTGGTTTAATGAAGAACAGAGAGTCAAATAATTAGAATTTATGTCTGTTGTTATAATCTGATGAATGACTGCAAGTATCTGTTTTTATAAAAATGGGGTAAAGGACATCAATGCAACAACAAAACCACCTTTTAGTGAGAACACCGTATACAGTGTAACCTGCTCGTGGAAATAATGAGCTACAAAGCGGATCTGTGGGAGCAGCAAAGGTTTATTTTGCTCAGCAGCACTGTGTGCAGTCTTTCTACAGGGCAGCTTGATCAACAGGTGTCAAATTATTACTGCCGGTTCCCATGCTTCAGTCAGAGTGCAATTGCTGATTTGGTAGACTGCGTGGGCGCTTCAGAATAATATTGCTTCCCTTCTCTGTGAACCCCCGACATGCTCTCTCTGTCCCCTCCCCTCAGACAATGACTCAATTGTGTTGCTTTCACACTTTGCGCCAGACAGCTCTGTCCATCTCTCACTAAAGGCATGAAACAATATTTTGAAAGCGACGCACTTCCCTTGTGTGCCTTCATTACTCTCACAAAAAAACCTGTCATATTTTTGTGTTAGCTGTTAGACCTGACAGCTAACAACAGTCTGTCTCTAAGTTGCCCAATCAGGCTGTTCCAATGAAAAGTGTGAGAAAGGGGTGTTCTACTTTGATGCTGCCAACTCAAATTAGCAGCATTAAACTTAAACGAACGTTTCCATGTGCCCTCCCTTCCTTTGAGCAAGTCAGTTGAGTTGCAAGTTACTTTTTACCTCTAAAAGACGCGCTGCAGCCTAGTCAGTATCAGATGTTGTGATATGTTTTTATTTTTAATGGAAATCCTATCAGTCCACTTTTTGTGGATGTTTGAATTCGTCTCGTGGGTTAATTCAGCTATGCATGCTTAGTCTTGGCTCTTGCAATTGTAACAGCTGGGGGCAGTCAGTAGGTATAAATCATGCAGTCGGTCAGCTCCCTGTGTATGTGTACTCCACCCTGCTGCCCATGCAGCCCCGATTCAGT